CATGCTAGATGGATACCTCCAGATCTTTGTTGTTACAAACTCAATATTAACGCTTCTATTTCCTCCCAGAATAATGTAGTGGGAATAGAATAAGAGCTATTATTAGAGATTTTGAATGTTTTGTTATGGCAACACTAGCAAAGAAGGTTGAGGGGACTACTCTGTTGGTGAAGCCGAAACTAAAGCAATTTCCATCATTTTTTTGTGGGCCTGCCTTATACATTGGTCTGAATCTTCAGTTTATGAAAATTGATGCATCAACTATGAAACGTTTTTCTTTCTATTGTAATGAGTTTTGATTGTTATTGTTCTATGTATCTAACTTTTTTTTTTTTTTTTGGAGCTAAATTATGTCATGTGTGTAGGTTTACCAATAGGACTGCCCATTTCTTAGCTGCTTATGCTCTTTATATTGATGATTAGTTATTTTGATCGGAATATAAAATCTGTTATTATAATTGATTCTTACTCTCCTAAGTAATAATAACAGTTTCTATTCTAAAACGAAAAAAACAAAAAGTTGGTAGATACAATCTTTTATTACTGTTATACCAAATAACTTTAAAAAAACTCAGAATCTATCTTCTTACACAATCTCCTTTATATTCTATTAATTCTTTTACTAATCCGTTCCTCCTGCAGAACAGAACGAACCCTTAATTTTTTCAATTATATGTTAAAGAGTCATTTTTGATATATATTTTTTAGTGTTTTTCTATTTATGGAGCCAGTCACACACTATTTTCTCTTCAACTTTTAATTCAAATTTATTATGGAACAGTCTATGCACACTTTATTGTCTTATTCATTTCATGCTCATATACTCTCTCTTAAAAGGAATAATTATTAAGAACAAAGTCCTGGCCTAATTGTTTGTTTACTTGGAAGTGCGTTGGATTTGGCCGAGGGAAAAAAAAAAAAAAAAAAAAAAAAAAACAGACGCAGAGACCAAATCAAACGACAAACAAAAAGCTCACTCACAACAGGCCAAACCGTACACTTTTGGTCGTCTGCTTGGAAATACATACGGACAAAAGAACAAGAGAAATGAGTTGTTCCAATCTCTTCTTAAATCTCTGTTCACGAGTTTGATAGGAAAATAGTTTTCAGAATACCCCTAAGAGAAAGGTATCGCCGTACAAAACTCTCTGTAAAAGAAGAAGAAAAGAAGAAAAAGAATTTGATGATAAAGATGTTGTGGAAATCTATAGCACAGGACAAAGGGTGTCTTCCTCTGGACTTGCTTATCCTAAATGTGGCTCTGGCTTTCTTCAGTGCCATTCTTGCTGTCGTTGCATTTTTTCAGGTCTCTTGCGCTTACCCTTTTGTTTTTCATCTTTGTTGTTTTGTTTTTCCGGATTTGGCAGGGATTTTATGAAGATAATCTAGGAAAGAATTGATTGTTTGTTAGTTTTAAGGATTTGGGGTCGAACTGATGTTTATATTTTATTCCCAAGTTCGATTCTTTTTGGTTTTCATTAGCTCAAGAATTTCCCACTTTATATTTTGATTTATATTGGTGGAATGTGTACAAGATTCTGGCCCATACTTGTACAGTACTTGTTTGGGGTTCATTTGATTGACTTTTGGTTAAGTTATGTAACTTTATTTCTCTCTCACCCTTTCACTTTCATGCAAGCACACATATGTACAAAACATTTTGGCCCAAGTTTATGTGATTTTATTTTTTATTTATTTTTTATTTTTTGAGGTTAGGTGTAGAAGAGTAGTTAGTTATTCCATCATTTTAATGTTCATTATTTTTTTGGCTTGAATAGTAGTACTCATTGTTGAGTGATACTTATTAATGCTAAAATTTTGTTGTATTTAGTAAGAATGCTTCAAAAGTACATTTCTTTCTTTGTTGTACTTATCTTAGCATTTTGTTCTTGCAGCTTGTCAGAATTCACTTGCGAGAAAAAGAATGGACGCGCCAAAAAGTAAGTGGTATATTCTATTGCTTCATCTTTTAAATAATGTTTGATATCACCATGAACTGTTTGTATAAACTTCTCTGATAATTCTGTCCTAATAATTAATTGATAATTAATTGCTTATATCTATATCTCTATCTCTATCTATATCTTTACAATATTTTATATCTTTACCATATGATTTTGTTCAAGTTATATTCACCTATACCATTGTTGAGTGCTCTTTTGATAAAATCAAAGGAATATGCAGGTACTCCACTTCATGATTGGCACTTCCAACACGGGTAAGGCTGAGTTTTATGGTTCATATGACGATCTTACATATTTTGCTCATTACACATTCGATAAGCGTCTAAGTTCTAGTTAAACAAAATCCTTGTGGTTTGTTATATGTATTTATCACTTTGATCAATCAAAGCTTCCTTCATGATACCCTTGCCTTTGACTAGAAATTATGTAGCTCTCGATAGAAAACTTCACATTCACAGGAGTAGAGTCAGCCAGGCATTATGTGAACAGATTGATCCATGGATATTTTGTCATATTATCTGCTTTCTACTTTGGCAGGGTACTTCATATATTTTGCATCTACCCATTTTTCAACTTATGAGAAGTGGCTTTGCTGGTATCATGTTTGTGGTTTTGTACTTATGGGTACGTTTTCTTTTCTCGTTATAATTCATATGCAGCTCCAATATCTGTTTTCCGCTGGGTGTTCTAATGATGAACATACTGCTGCAGCCTACCCCAAAATACTGTTTCTTGCTGCATTCCTTCTGCTTCTATCTTTTTGGTAAGTCCTATTAAGGTTTAAGTTCTTATCATTGGTATTTCTTCCTTCATAATAATCAAGCCGTTCATGTGCTTTTCAATGGAATTATGTGTTCATGTGCTTTGATCAAAATTATATATTAGTCGATGTCAGAAAACTTCTTTTTTTTTTCCCCTGAGTTCTAACTGTAAGGGTTCTTGATAACGGAATATTTTGCAGGTGAATCTGTAAAAAAGAAGTTATATCACTCCTAAGCTTTTGATGGTGCTAATAAACTTGAGAAAGCATATTCTGATTTCTGAGAAGTTGTAAAAAGATGTATCAAGAAATATAGCCTCATTGAATATCACTTAAACGAGCTTTTGATTTAATGGAAATTACACCTCTACCACCTTTAACTATGAGGAAAATTCCATATTCCTCTAAACTACCAGTTGGAGCAACGATCTGTCAAATATAGAGTGGCTACTTGCTTCCTACTATGGCAGTTGGTTGGAACTCCAATTCTTGGTTGTACAGATACATGTCAAATGATAATATAAACACCAACCACACCCCAACCCAGCCCCCCACCCCGCCTCTTCTCCTAAACATGTTAAATTATAACAGTGTCCTAGGTTGTAGTTCTACTTGGCATTCCTATCTTTCCCTAAACATTGTCCTTGCAGTCTGCAAGTTGTACATTACCTAGTGTTTGCATGGTACAATTTTTATATGATAAAGCCTTATTTATAAAGTATACACACCCTATTATGGCTGATGATTCTATAGGGTCGACCTCTGCCATCAGGCGAATGACGAAGAGGATGATGACGGTGAAAACAGTACCCAACAGACCTTGTTGGCAAATTCAACCAACAAATTTGGTTCATCAAATACAGATGGCAATTGGGCTTGTTGCTCATTCCAAAACCTTCATGTTGGTAGCTGCCAAAATTTTGTGGTTGCGGTATGGAGAAATATAAATTACCTGTTTATTGTTCTTTATTCTTATCATAGTAGTCATTAGGCTTCTCATGAAACACAGTTATGAATTTCCCCTTTTACATTAATGTCTCTTCCCCTGCTAGGTTGTTCTGCTTGTCTTCATCGTAATGGTATCATTTGCCATGATAATCTGGATTGGTGCCAGAGAGAATTTCATTAATTCTTCAATAGTTGCTCAGGTACAAAACTTATATCTTACTCTAGGTTTAACTAAGTAAGAGGCAATTTTGAATCGTTTTCTATAAAAAAAAAAAAAAAAAAAAAAAAAAAAAAAAAAAAAAAAAAAACGCAAGAGGCAATTTGCTCCAACATTTTTAGTGTTTTTTTTTTTTTTTATGTTAAGATAAGTTGAGATGGCTCATGATATGTAATTAATGATTAAGCTCATAAAGAACTGGAAGAAGTCAAGAAGAAATCTTTCAGTCCAATGAGTGCATTTTGTTGATTGGATCATAATTCTTTTCTCACACTACTTGTGTTTATGGCAGATTTTGGAATAATCTGAAAATCTCATTCATTGAAAAACTGGTACAAACACACGTACATATATAACACAACCTCTAGCACTAAATAAGAAAAATAACTACAGCCCATACGTACAGCTATCTATCCCATGATGCAAGGGATTTTGTTGACTTTCCTAAACATATTGATTTACAACTAATCAGGCAATCTTATTAGCTGTTCATTTCCACACTCCCCCTCAAGTTGGAGAATAGATGTCTTCCATTCCCAGCTTGGAAATAATCCCATGAAAAATTGTACTATTGAGTCCTTTTGTTAAAACATCCGCCAATTGATTTCCCGTGGATACATACGGTGTGCAGATCAATCCACATTCCAGCTTCTCCTTGATGAAATGTCTATCTATCTTAATGTGCTTTGTTCTGTCGTGTTGAACTGGTTTTTTGGGATCGTCGCTATTGGGTTCATGGTTCCAAGCCTCTCTATTGTAGCCTTCGTCACTGCTGAGCTTGACTCTCCCAGAGTCAATGCTCCGTTTGACGTTCCAAGATTCAAGCCCATCAATATGGGAAGGAAGTGGAGTCATTCGGCTGCAATTTCTTGACTTACACCTTGAGGACAAGGTGTTTGTTTGGGGCGGGAGCAATGATAGGAACTTGTTAGTTGGTTAGAGAAGTTAGTAGTTTGTTAGAAAGGATGTTATTAGTTAATTACTGTGGACTCTAGTTGGTTAGGGAATTAGTTAGAGAAGGCATGATATATTAAAAGGGGGTTCGAGAATGAGAGTGGTCACGAATAGTCTGAGTGATTTTGGGAAGTCTTGGCTCATTAGCTAAGTAGGGGAGGACCAGCAGTCCCTCGAAGTACTGCTTCTGTAATTCATTCTTCAATTCAATAAAAGTTCATCTTTCTCTTCTCAATTCTTCTCATTTCTTGAGAATTGTCTTAGATCTTATCATTTGCAAGATCAAAGGAAGGGATCTTTGTGAACCAAGGGAAATACATTTTTGATCTCCTCAGGGAGACTGGTCTTCTGCATTGCAAAGCAGCGGAGACTCCTATTGATGCCAACTTGCAACTTGATCTTGCTAAATCTGAAGATGTGATTGACAGAGAGAAGTTCCAAAGACTAGTGGGGAAGTTGATTTACTTGTTACATACACGTCTTGATATAGCATTCGCTGTGAGCATGGTAAGCCAGTTTATGCACGCACCAGGACAAGTACATTTTGATGCAGCCTATAGAATTCTAAGATACTTGAAGGGAACTCTTGGAAAGGGTCTTATGTTTAGAAGACAGAACGATCTACAAATTGAAGTCTATACAGATGCAGATTGGGCCGGTAGCCCTACTGACAGGCGATCGACTTCAGGTTACTGCACCTTTATCAGAGGGAATCTTGCCACGTGGCGGAGCAAAAAGTAAAGCGTTGTAGCTCGAAGCACTGCTGAAGTAGAATTTAGATCTCTTGCACATGGAATTTGCGAAGCAATGTGGATAAAGAGAATACTTGAAGAATTGAAGATTCCGGTGCCTTTTCCTATGAAGATTTACTGTGATAATAAAGCTGCCATCCCAATTGCTCACAATCCAGTTATACATGATAGAACTAAGCATATTGAGGTAGATAAGCACTTTATCAAGGAGAAAATCGAAAGTGGGTTAATCTGTGTTCCTTATGTACCTACTACATAGCAGATAGCAGACATACTCACCAAAAGACTACACAAAGGACAGTTTGAACTACTAGTCAGCAAGCTAGCTATGGAAGACATCTACAAGCCAGCTTGAGGGGAGTGTTGCAAGATATTCGGATATTTACCTGAATTAAGAAAGATTGTACCAAAAATAGAGTAGTTAGGACTGATTGTGATTTGATCTAGTTTCCTAGAATAGCTTTGTGTATAGTTGTCAATTAGTCTTTATTTCCTAGGATAGTTTCCTTAAATGGTTCCTCGTACAACTATTTATATGTATAATTGTGAATAATAGAAACTCACTCAATTCACGTTCAAATTTGATCTAGTTTCCTAGAATAGCTTTGTGTATAGTTGTCAATTAGTCTTTATTTCCTAGGATAGTTTCCTTAAATGGTTCCTCGTACAACTATTTATATGTATAATTGTGAATAATAGAAACTCACTCAATTCACGTTCAAATGCCTATTAAGCCAACTAGAAATGCTTAATACTTCCTTTTTTATTGAGAATTTGTAAAAATTTTGAATGGGGACGGCCCATTCTTTGGTGCCACAACTCCGAAGATGCTGATGAAAATTTAATTGCTGCCAATGCTTCCATTTTAGCTCCTTCGAGTGCATACAATTGTCCTCTTTTACACCCCTTCGCTAATGTCTTTTGACTTTGATCCTTCATCACAAAACCGTTAGCATTGAATTCAATACTACAAGAATTATCTTCTGTGAATTGACTTGCGGACAATAGATTTTTCATGAGCTTAAGAACAATAAGGACATATTTTAGATTTAAATTTCCATGGGGGGTTTTTAAAAGAGCATTACCAGTATGTGAGATAGCCAATTTATTTCCATTACCTACATAAATACCATCATTTCCATTATAAGCATGTATTGAAGTAAGCTTACCAACATCGTTTGTCATATGTGTTGTTGCTCTAGAATCTGCATAGAAACTTGGATCAGTTTCTTGCAGAGAAAGAGCTGCAAAATTTTCAGGCATCTCTTCTTCTTGATGAGCATAATCGTATCTAAAAACATTTGATGGCTGTATGGTTGGTTCTTCCACATATTTGGCATTGCACTTTCTCTTCATTTTGTTTGTTGTTGTTGTTGCCTTGCCTATTGCCAGTGAAGTTTTTCCAGCTATTGTTTGATTTGCCATTGCCTTGATAAGCTGAATTGTTTTGAGAGGGATAGAAATTCCGGTTGTTTGATCGATTTGCTTGAGAAAATCATCTTCCCTCTCGAATTGAACCAACCTCCTCTATTGTCTCTTCCGCGCCCTCTTTGTCCAAAGAAGGCTTGCGCGTGATCTGGAATTCTCTTTTTACTTCACATTGTTCAATTTTCATTTGCTCATGATTTTGTAAAGAGAGAACAAACTGATTAAATGAAGGTATGGTGGCTTTGAAAGCATTACCATACAAAAATCTTGGTATTTAGGACCAAGCCCGTGAGCCAATTTGAAGACTTTTCCGGTGTCCGGAATTGGCTTGTTGATGGCAGCAAGGTTGTCACATATAGCTTTGAATTTCCTGACATATTCTTCAATGGATAAGGATCCCTTTTTTAAACAAACCAAGGAATCCTTCAAATGTTCTTCTTTCTCTATGGTGTTGGGAAGTAGTTGCTCTTCCAAACTTCTCCATATGTGCTTTGCTGTTTCACCTCCCATGATCAAGCTGAGTATGTCTTCAGTCATTATGCCCAGGAGCCACGAAAAAAAAAATCCATTATTGTTTAGCCACAACGTGTATTGTGAATTTGCAACTTTCTTGTCATCATCTCTGATTATTTATTTTTCCGGCGTATCATCTCTAAGATGGTGGGCTATCCCAAGACTTTTAATCAAGGGCAAGACCTGCAATTTCCAGACACGAAAATTAGAAGAGCTTAATTTTACAGAAACAAGGCTAGCACACTGGTGAAAAATTTGTATTGTGAGCTTCGGTTCATCATGGGAGTTTTCAAAAGTAGAGCTTGCCATCTCTCTGATATCATAAAAGAATTTTGAAATAGGAAATAGAAATAGAGAAGAAAGCAATGATAGAGATATAAAATCTATTCACTCTTTTTTCATTGTTCAGCAAGATGCACGAACAGGAATATATATACAAGAAATACAATAAGGTCATTTAATGGTATACAACGGTAACAAAAAAAATCAGCCTAAAATTATGTTTTCTTTATTCTAGAAATATGGAATCCTTTAGATATTGCTGAATGAATAGCCATATTTGTTTCCAACGGCTTGCCATGTGTTATGGGATTTTATGACCGTTTGAAATCAATTGCCTCTGGTTCCTTGTCAATTGCTTTGCTGTCATGATCTTTATTTTGGGTAAGTGAATCTTAGACTTTATCATGTTTCATTTTAAAAATTCCGAATACTTGCATTTTACATGATTACATAAGTTCTTTTCTAGCCGAAGGCGCACCTGTGTGTGTTTGCTCCTTTTTATTGGGGAATAACCGAAATCCTTTCTCAGGTGTATGAAGAATTTATTGCCTCATTTCTCTTAGTGGGAGGAACATTAGGTTGCTATGGTGAGAGCTGAGAAGCGTCAAGTATAGAGAGCTCAATCATGATACTGACCACGTATTTCTAACTGTCTTCATATTAAATTCAGGTCTCTTGCTATCTCGAAAATTAAGGAAAGTATGGTCTGAGAGAGCGTCATCAGAGATGTGGAAGGTATGAATTAATTTTCTTCTTTTTCTTTATATTGGTTCTGGTTGAAATATTGATGAGGTCATGCAAATTTTTATGGCGCATACAGGTTGCTGGTTTAGCAGTTACCTCGGTCATATGCTTTACGTCAAGTGCTTTAGTAGCAATTCTCACTGATATTCCCGTAAGTGGCTAATTGGGTAGAGAAGCTTAATAATGTTTGGGGTCGTTGCATTTCTGACTTATGCATATGCAATGCCTTTTTCACCTTTAGTCAGAACTCGTTTGCAGCTTTACTATCATTGGCATCTGAAGAAAATCTATGGAGTAAGGGCCGTGCTTTTTCTGATTTTGTACTATCATATACGTAATTCTACATGTTCCTTTCATGCTGACTAAACAATATTCATGAAGCTTATTAAGGCTGACACAAAATAATCTAGCCGGACTATCATTTCTTTTTCTTGTTATATTCATACTAGTAAACCCTTATTTCTGTCAAGAAATATGGTAGATTACAGTTTCTTTTTGTGCTTTGATTTTTCTCCCAGGGTCTTTGATTCCCTCAGCTTTTGTATTATGGATAATGTTAGAGTTGCCACCCGCAATCACTCATCGAGAGGAGCAACGAGAATTATAATGTTTATTAGCCGTGGAACTTCAGGGACCTATCATTGGCGGCGGCCCCCTGCCGTGACGAGTTCGAAGAATCAGGTTTCTTCATCACTCTTGCTTTGAAATGACATTGTTTATCACCCACTTGCCCTATGTTTTACAGTACTGAAAAATCACACATTCTCAAGCAAATATTATATTCTTCCAACATGTCTGAGACAGAAAAATGGTTCATTGAGACATTACTTCATTAAGATCAAAAAGGATTTCTATTTGGCACCAATTTTGCACTGGGGATTGACAATTTTGCCGCAATTCTGAGATTTATGTATAGTTTTGTGAATCTTTGGAAGTCTCCTGTGAAATGTTTCAAGTCTTTGCAGAAAAAATTGTGGTGCCTGAACCTGTGAACTATAACTTTATCCCGATGATTCTTGTATATTTTAAACATGGTATTTTGTATTGCTCTGAATATTAGAGTTCTAAGTTGAAAACTTCGTTTTATTGATGCTTACAGTTAAATGCATAACGACTTTATCAGTATTTACCTGGTGTAGTACTGGGCCAGGAGAGGCACAAAAAAGCAACTGTGAGACTTTGTGCTAACTTTGTTTACCCTGTAGGCATATAGAGCAAGTCCTATGTAAGCGAACAATGTGCATAGGCACACCAGTTGTGTTGTTTTTCCGGCTTCGAGGAAGACCAGTAGAGTCTGCAGAAGCGCAACAGACTTTTGTGTGCAGTGTGTTGGGGCAGCATTGCCAGTACCAGAAATTTCGTTTTGAAGCCAGTCACTCTCCAAGCTTTTTACTAACACAAAAAAGACACATAGCTCTGGCTGTCAATGCTTCGACATTTGGTTTCACTGATGTACATATGGTTCGGAAAATTCGCTCGTTTCTTCTTCGGCGACAACTAGTAAAAGCTACCGCAAGCTAATGTAATTGTTGCTGATGTTGTTATTATTTTCCTCAAAGCTTGTCACAATAATTTTATATGAATAGCAAGTGTTACTTATTGCTATTGTTCTTTTTTATATGAATATTTCTTTGTAACAATCTACAAATCCATTTCTTCCAACAATATATATATATATATATATATATATATAAACCGTTACTTTTGGTTTTCTAAACAAGTTTCCCACTAAACACATTTTCAAGTTATGTGCTAATGTGCGTATGTGACGTATGAATTACATTCTTTTTGGTTAAGGACTCATGAGTTACACTATTAAATGAGAAGGTTCAAAATGCATGTCTTTCTATTTCATTTTTGTTGTTGTTGCTCGAAATGGTTCAAAATGATATAAAATATGGAACTTTCTCTAGTGTTCTCTCTTTTTGAGAACACCGGTGTTCTTTGCTTATCAGTTATCAGATCTGTATTTAATCTGGTCAAAAGTCAAATGAGATTGAATAAGTAATACAGATCTGACAGCTAATAAACAGAGAACACTAAATTCTCTTGAAATATAACAATCCATGCATTAAATTTGACGTATAAAACCATTGACAAGAGAAGAATACTAGATTATATTTGAAATCTTCCTTAAAAAGAAAAAAAGAGTTTCTCCAGTGATATTTTCCTTTTGAGAACACCAATATTTTTTATTTTTACAGCTGTTATATCTGGTTAAAATTATATCAAATTAAAAAATTATATAAAATAAATAAATTTTGATATAAATTTAACAATTGAGAAATAAAAAATATCAATTTTCTTAAAAAGGAGAGAACACCATGAAAAGTATTAAAAATGAAGATTGAAATACTTTGTAAGCTGTCCAGAAGAAAAAAAAAATATAAAAAAAAGGGCCGAAAAGGGTAAACGGAAAGTAGGGAGAAAGAAGTAAATTGCAGACTATGATCCTCCTACTTCCCTAATTCCACGCCAGTCAAAAAGTGCCCAAACATCCTCGTCGTACTTGATAATTCCTGCTCCCTAACTTCGAGGGCGAGACAAGCTCTCTCTCTCACCACTTTATATCAGAGTGAAACCCCAAAAAGAAAAAGAAAGCGAAAAAGCTCTCCGTCTCAAACTCTATAATCTTCATTGTCTATTTCATCACTGAAAGAAAAAAAAAAAAGCAAAACCACTACATTTAAAGCAGACACAAAACCCAAATAAATAAAAAAAAACAAATTCTGAGTTCAAATTCTTTTCTTCTCATCGGAGCAAACAAATGCCACTTTGCCCCACTTCTCGTCCAAAGTATCCTTCTTCCTTTTCCCACAAAATATAAAAATCAAACCCAGAAAGATGATTACCGAAATTCTGGTTTTCGCCAGAGCTTCTGACACAGAGAAGCGAAGAAGAAGAAGTAGAAGAAGAAGAAGTGGAAGAAGAAGAAGAAGAAGAAGAGAAAAAGAAGAATAAGAAGACGAAGAATAGAGTGGTGGAATTGAGGGGAAATTCGGGAATGGCGAGCTCGAGCGGGACGAAGACCGATGGGGGCCCGCCGAGGACGCTGTCGAGGGGGATGACGAGGATGCCGACGCGGTCGGTGGATTTGCCCAACGAGGACAAGGCAGCCTTTGATAGTGAGCTCGTACCCTCCTCCTTGACCTCTATCGCTCCGATTCTCCGCGTCGCCAATGAGATCCAGAAGGAAAACCCTAGGGCCGCTTACCTTTGTATGTTTCCTCTCTCTCTCTCTCTCTCTCTCTCTCTCTTAATTTGTTTTCGTTCTAGTTTATGATCATTGTTATTTAGGTTTGAATTGTCTTTTTTTTTTTTGGGTTGCCTCAGAAATATTAATCTTGTGGAGAATTCCCGAATTAACGTTTCGGCTAATCTCATCGATCAATACCAGAATCTTTTCATTTCGGGACTTAGATCTTCTGTCCAACTATGGTGTCCTAAATGGTGTTTAATCAATCATATATGGCATGTATAGAAAATTTGAACTGCTTTTTAATTATCTTTTTTATGCTTATTATGGGTTGATGTGGAATGATATTATGGTTAGACACTAGTTAGGACATAAAACTTAGAAGATCTGGATCTCATTTCTAGAGCATTGACATGTATTTTGATTGGTTTATTTAAGTTGATCCAAGTTCTGTTAAATTAGGAAAATTAAAGTTTTAGAAATTTTAATTAGTGACGAGCTTACTTGTGATATGTTACTGATTGACTTGGCAGACTATTGCATTGACTTGGCAGTCTATCACTGATGGACCGATATCAATCAGCGACTAACTAATGTTATTTAATAATGGATAAACGCACTAAATAGCATTTTATGAATATAGTTTTGAAGTAAATAGCACATTTTTAAAACTTGATAAATTAAAGCATATTTTGATTTTTGATTTATAGTTTTCCAAATATACCCATCCTTTTAGGTTTTTCATCAGATGCTTCTCTCTCTTCCTCCACAACCTCTCTCTCTCTCTCCCACCTCCATGATTTCATGTCCAGACATCTCTCTCTGTCTCTCTCTCTTCGAGGATAACTCACCGCTGTTGTTGCCAAAGATCGGAGATCGTGATTTCTCCGGTTCTCTCTCTTCCCTCATTGCCGTCATCGCCGATCTGTGGCGCAGAGATCGCAAAGTGAGATCACGATTTCCTTGCTTCTTTCCTCTCCGTCTATTGGTTGTCTCCCACTGGCATTGCAACGCTAATCTGACAGAGACAACGTTCTCACGAACGGCAGACTCCAGCAACGACGGTGGTTGTCACCTCATTCTTGGTGCTCGCGAACAAGATTCCATTAAATGCCGTCGTGACCTCCCAGCAAGGGATCTCGCGCCGCCAGATGCGTCGCGAACCAGTTCGGCTAGCGTCGGTTCCATAGAGCAGATCCCGACCAATGATTTCTGTTTTTTGTTTTTTGTTTTCTCTGGGCTTGTCGATTTATGTGCTTTGTGTAGGTTATTTCTATGGGTTGGCATGGCAATGACAGGAACCAAGAGACATTCTTGGTTTGATAATGTATTTATGGAATGTTTTCAGAAAATAAGTGTAATTGTGGTATTTGGTGATTCTTAGATCTGATTTGTTATGATTTTTGGTTTTTAGATTTGATTTGTTCTGAGTTTGTGATAATCTAAGATTTTGGTTGATTAAATGTTGTGATTTGGTTTTCGGTGCCGCTTATTTCCGGATTTCTAGATTTTTGAGTAAATAAGGGTAAATATCATATTTGCTGGTTGTTGGTCCTCGGTCGTCGATGGTTGAATTATTAGGTAAATATGATATTTACGGATAAATATAGTATTTATCGGTAAATACAATGTTAAATGATCGCCAGAGTGAGTGACATATCAGATAAATATGATATGTACTAGTAAATACGGTATTTATTGGTAAATATAGTATTAAATGATTGCCGGAATGGGTGACAAATTTTCGGATTAGTATGATATTTACTAGTAAATATGATATTTACCGGTAAATACAGTGTTAAACGGTCGCCGGAGTCGGTGCTCGGATTTTCGGATAAATATGATATTTACTAGTAATTACGGTATTTACTAGTAAATACAGTGTTAAATGGTCGCTAGAGTCAGTGCTCGAATTTTCGGATAAATATGATATTTACTCGTAAATACGGTATTTATCGGTAAATATAGTGTTAAATGGTCGCCGGAGTTTGTGGCCGGATTTTCAGATAAATATTATATTTACTAGTAATTACGGATTTATTGGTAAATACGATATTTACTAGTAAATACAGTGTTAAACGATCCCTGGAGTCAATGTCTGAATTTTCGGATAAATATGATATTTATTAGTAAATACGGTATTTACTGGTAAATAGAGTGTTAAACGGTCACCAAAGTTAGTGGCTGAATTTTTGAAAAATATGATATTTACTGGTAAATACAGTATTTATTGGTAAATACAGTATTTACCTGTAAATACAGCATTATATGGTCACCGGAGTCGGTGGTTGGCTTTTCGGGTAAATATGGTATTTACTAATAAATATGGTATTTACCGGTAAATATAATGTTAAATGGTTGTCGAAAAACAGTCACTAAAAAATGGCCACCGGTCGTTGGAAAACGGTCGCAGGTTGCTGGAGCTGATCGCCGGAGCCGGCTGCTGGCCGCCGGTCCCGGCCATGGTGGACTTGACTATAATCTACCTTATGTAAAAAATATGCTATAATTTACCATTTTTTAAAAAATAGATGTTAGGGGGAGAAGTGAGGTGGAAAAGGAAGTTTAGGAGTATTTTTGGATTTTTAATAATGTTTAAAACTTAAAATATCAAATTATGCTATAATTTACTAATCACTTTATCAATTATGCTATTTCCCTCCTTATCCCTTTAATAATTTACTGGTCTAGCAATTGGTAAATTGGTGATAGACGGATCTATCGTTATTATTGGTAATTTTATCAATGATTGACCATTGTAATATCCAGCAAAAAGATTTAAAAAAAAAAAAAAAGAACGACCTTTTAACTAAAAAAGGGGTTCTGCTATTAATTAAATGGGGGTGGCTGAAACCGGCCATCTACCTAATTTTCCCCTTTTGCCTCTATAAATTTCATATAGTGTAATATTCTCTCCATTCTTCTTTTGTCCCTAGATGTCTCCACAATTAACACTTCCGGTTCTGTCCAGAAAGTTGTGTTTCAGACACTTTTTGGCGCTGCAAAAATGACTGTCCAATTTGTTAACCTTATGCATTTCCACTTGGTGAATATTACCATATGATCATGTGTGTCAAACGAAGTTCTACATGAGTTTAGCTGGCACTTTTTGGGTTTAAGGTGTAGTTGAGTTTATGCGTTGCTCTATGAGCATTGTTTATTGTCACTCTTTCAACAATGTTACGATGGTGGTTTCAGTTTAGCATTTTCTTTTGTATACATTGGTCTATTCTTTCTTAAAACATAGTTCTGGAAGTGGCAGTCTACACAAAAATATAGATTCTCCAAGATCAAACTACGGATCAGAATCCGTTGTTTTACCTAGTGTTTTCTTCTCAAAACAACAGTAATGGTGACTTTTATTGTATCTTGCATGTGATAATAGTTCCAGATGTTCTGAATGACAGTATCTTAGACATGCACATATTGACCATAAGTATCATAGCTGACTGGGAAAACCGATGTCTCAAATCTCAATTATGACCATTAATTCCTTAGAATGTGATGCAGTAACAAGCTTTTTACCTGCTTCTGTTGCAACTAGATATATTTCTCGTACCAACTATTCGTACTTGTCATGGTGCATAATCTACGTTCATCTATAGTGTCTGCGGTGTATGAATGGTTGAGTGGTTGAAGATTTACTTGTTCTTACCCTGCTGTATTTTGTCCAATTTAGGTCGCTTCCATGCATTTGAGAAGGCCCATTCGATGGATCCAACATCCAGTGGACGTGGTGTTCGCCAGTTTAAGACACATCTGTTGCACCGGCTTGAAAGGGTAGGCCTTTTGATGGTTGTTGGATAATTTCTTTATTTAGTCTTCTAGTTTTGGGTGGTTCTTGTAAATTTCTTGTTTCTTATGAAAAATTAAAAAACTTAATGTAAATTTATGCTAAAATGTTCTTATATGAACTGTTCGTGTTTTACGTCCCTCTCTCTTCCCCTACTTACATTTATTCCATCCAAAAATTTTGTACTGTACCATGTTCTTATTTCCCTAGTATTTTTCAAAGTGTTTATACGTTCTTAGGAAACATTCCCAGGTTCATCGTATGATTCACCTTACTTTATTGGTAAGAAGTCCTTAAACTAAGAAATTGTAGTGTCCACCATGAACAGGAGCAAAGTAAGACTAGTTTCCCGATCAAAATTTTAAAGCAAAGTTCTGTGCAAAAGACTTCTTGTTAGTTTCTTAAAGTGGGAGCAAATAGCAACTACATCATTAAATTTATACTTGCCTTTTCCCTTTAAAAAAAAATACTTGTTTTCAGCTTGGATAGTTTTCTGATATTACTGGTTTTAGAAAAAAGATGTAAGATTAGTGTGAGAAAATCTCAAATTGATCCATAGCCAAATGTAATTTTTTAGACCGATCACAAGCTTCTAAGATAAAACTCATTCAATTTCATTACTAAAGTTCATTCCAAATTTTATAGATACTGAAATTAATTATGAATAACTTTTGACTGTTATTGCAGGAAGAAGACGAAACAAAACATATACTTGCTAGAAACGATCCAAAAGAGATTCTGTTGTTTTACCAGCAGTACTATGATAAGAATATCAGAGGAGGAGAATATACAAAAAAACCGTGAGGCTTGCTTTTGAGTTGTGAACACGTGCATTTCTTATAACGTTTCTAATGATCTCATGTTCTCTTAATTTTTTTTTTTTTTTGGGTCCTTTTCAACACGTGAAGGGAGGAGATGGCTAGGATTTGTCAGATTGCAACAGTACTGTATGAGGTGCTGAAGACTGTGGTACCTCCAAATCAGATAGATCTGCAGGTTTGATGTCGTTGATGGCGGTGTCTAGGCTCCAAATTTTGAAGATACGTTTTGGGTAAATGGTGCTAAATACATATCTGTTTGACAATTTTTTATCTTTTTGATCGTAGACACAAAGAATCGCTGAGGATGTCATAAAGAAAAGGGACCAGTATGCACATTATAACATTCTTCCATTGTATGCTGTTGGGGTTAAACCGGCAATTATGGAACTTCCAGAGGTAGTATATTTGCAGTAATTATAAGTATGACTTTTTTTTTCCAAGACTACTTCAAGAAGTATTTTTTTCTTCTGTTTATTCGTATTTTCTCCTGAAATGCCTAGATCAAAGCAGCACTTCATGCTCTACGCAATGTGGATAATCTTCCAAAGCCCAGAATTCATTTTCCAGTCACCGGACCTGATGATAAAACAACAGTCCCTACAGAGCGGGTTGGACCTGTCAATGATATACTTGATTGGCTTGCCACTATATTTGGGTTTCAGGTAAATTGATCCTTTTATGCATATAAGTTTAGATTTTCATCTACTTCTAACATGCCCTTGGGCTAGCGGTCTCATAATGGTGTGACACTGCCTGGCGCTAATTGTTGTCACCGCCTGGTTCTAAATGTGGCCTTCCAGCACCATCTTTTACTTGACGAGAGGGCTTTTAGTAATATATGGATTCTCCCTAAAAAGGGCATCTCATACAAGACCTCAGTTTGGTGATGAGCCTGGACCTAATCTTTTGTGAGCTGAATGTTAAGAAAAGAAATGGATAATCTATTGTGCTACATTGAAAATAATGAACAGATTAAAAGATATAGAAAAAATAACCATATGTCGTAGTATAAGAGGTGCATAGAATAAATAGTGAAGGATTATGATTTGGACAATTTGCATTAGTTGTTTTGAATGCCAGGTGCTGATGGAAAAAAACAGTGATAAAATGACAGCAAAAAAGTGATTTAGTCTGTACTCGTATTCCGCCCTTCTATACCAGCAGTTTAAATACTAGTATTAGCATGCATGCATTTGGAAAGATGAATTAGGAAGATGATTTTTGGGTTTTCATTTGTCCTTTTGCAGTATATTACGTTTTTATGTTTATTTTTTAATCTTTTTGGTTTTGTGGATAGCTTATCCTCTATTGCTGTAATTGAATACTTTATCAATGGAGGAGTTTTTCTTATAAAGAAAAGCATTAATTTACCATTTCTTTTCCAAGACCCAGCTAGTTTTGTCCCTTCCAGCCTTTCTCTGAGTTTGAGGGAAGATTTCAGCAGGATCAAACATCTTGTGGTTTAAGTTTGGAATTTGAACATACAACTGATATTCCAAGAGACAAGAACTATGATTATCGGATGTTATTCTGTTTTTAACCATATGGTCTTGATTCGGGTGAAAATAATTTTGTTATATTTTCCATGCTTTAAACAATTAGCACTGCAAACTCTATTACAGGGAGCATTTTGCCCCCTACTACCATCTTTTTCATTCATTTTCGTATGAATGCCACACATCTTTTCTGATTCATTTGGAAATGATAAATTTGACGAATTATCTAAAATTTTACCAGGGAAAGCAGTCAATATGTTAGCATCATGCCTTCTGAAATAAATTTTATGTTATAAAGTAATGTTAGAAGCATACAGTGACTTAACTTTCCTCAGTGGCGTAACCCTCAGTCACGTTCCATGCTCTGCCCAAAAGTGGCTCCTCTAAGAGACAATAGACTTACCCTTTTAAAGCCATTTCTCAAGACATTTAGTGAAGGCCTTTTTTTTCAATTATAATGCGTTCTTTGCGCAAACACAAAATAATGGTTTTATACAGCTTTTAACTATCACACTGATGTGGTGATATTTGCGTACTGATTTGATTGATCTACTTATCTGTTTGCCCGTTTATGAAATGTGGATGTGTTTTCTTTGGTTGAGATTAGCAACACCCTTTCATTCACTCATGATGAACTCTGGTTTAGGCTTTTCAATTTTTTGAGAAGGAAACACTTGAATCTAACTGTATTGTCATGTTGAATTCTTGGGATATGAAGAAAGGAAATGTCGCAAATCAGAGAGAACACCTCATATTGCTTCTTGCGAACATTGATGGAAGGGGGAGGAATCCTGGAGAGTATACACAAGTAAATCCTTTTTCCTTTGAGACACTATTTGTTTTATTTATTAAGTTGTGTTTTATACTCTATTTGTTCAATAGTAGTTTTAACTTGCATTTCTTTCTATCACCACTGATTGATTATAATCTTGTTGCAGTTGGAAAGTGGTACTGTAGTACAGTTGGTGGACAAGATTTTTAAAAATTACCGTTCATGGTGTAACTATTTGCATTGTAAGTCACATCTAAGGTAAGAAAGCTGGATACTTTTCAAACACACAGTTAAGGCCCTTTCTAGTGCTCATCACATTAGATTTATTCCAGTACTTTATTTTTTAACTTGAGTGCCTAACTTCCATTGGGTGTGTTCTTTCACCTTTTGCTTCACAGGTTTCAGCAAGGTACTGACATCCAACAGCTGCCACTTATTTACGTTGCGCTTTATCTTCTTATATGGGGTGAAGCTTCAAATATTCGGTTCATGCCTGAATGCTTATGCTACATTTTCCATAATGTATGTTTATTTAGATAACTGTAATTGAGTTTTTTTTTTTATTTTTTATTTTTTTTTATTTTTTTTATGTGTAATTGAGTTTTTCTTGTCTGTATCACATGGTTACTTTCCTGAATTGGAATACTTTTTATATTTTGAAGAAACTTTTATGCCTGACAATAATCTTATCTCCAAATTGTGGAAGATGGCGAATGAGGTCTACGGGATTCTCTATAGCAATGCCGGTTCTGTAAGTGGAGATGCATATCCAAATGAAGCACGTGATGAAGAGTATTTTTTGAGGACTGTTATCACCCCAATTTATGATGTGTTGCACAAGGTAAAATTGCCTTTGCACTCTTTGTTTCGTTTTACTTGATTTTATACTTAATTTCTGTGTCTAAAAGTACAATTTTGTTCTTTGCAAAGGAAGCAAAGAGAAATAAAGGAGGAAAGGCAAGTCATTCAAGTTGGAGAAACTATGATGATCTCAACGAATACTTTTGGTGAGTATCTTTGAATAAAAATGTCTGATTGTATACTTCTGCAGATGTAAATGGCTAAAAAGTTTGTTCCTTTTTTAGGTATGAGAAATGTTTTAGCAGCCTAGGGTGGCCGATGGATCATAAATCGGACTTTTTCAGGCATTCAGATGGGATACCACCTGCAAATGAGGTACTCTCTCTCTCTCTCTCCCTCCCCTTGCAGTCGAGGAGATTTTCATGCAAAAGATTATGCTTGATACACCTCATTTTCAAATCTATTAGTATGGAGAACAACCATTGTCATTATTGGTGCCAAAAGTATTGTCTGATAACCATTTGAGAAAAGCATTGGTTTTGAAATTCATTTGTGCCGACAGATGGGACATCATTGTTTATAAGCATGTATACGCACATGTCCATAATCCATGTTCCAAGTGTGGAAATATCTATGCTGTTCTTTTCTTTCTTTGTTTTTTTTATTTATTTATTTTTTATAAGAAACGTCAAGAATTTATTGATACTGAAATAGAAAGTTACAGCCGGGACAAGGAGTCTGCCTAGAATATAAAAAAGAAAAGAGAGACGTTAACCTTACTTTTTGAATTACTTATTCAAAAACCATAGGGTCCTAACTAATGTAAGGCCTACATAGATAGATACTATATGCGTGAACATTTATAGCAAATAACATATTTATAGGCGTTTTTGCCCTGAAATGAGAATGTGATGCTCCTCATATGTTTGGCAGAGGCTAAATCAAGCTCCTAGTGGAAGGAGGAAGCCTAAAACAAATTTTGTGGAAGTCCGTACATTTTTGCACCTCTACAGAAATTTTGATCGGATGTGGATTTTCTTTATACTGGCTTTCCAGGTAAACTTGATGTTTGAGTATGTGTTTTTCGTTCAAGTAAAATACTTTTTGCACCCTTTAAAAGAAAAAAAAAGGAAAAACATCCATGTACTTATCATTGACTGATGGCAGTGAACTTGAGCATGATGGGAAAGGTAAGAGTTTAATATTTGTGAGAGGCATTGGAAATGGTGGATGGATAAAAGGCAGTAATAATCCGCTTGAGATGGCAGTGAACAGATATATTAGGATATCTTTGTTAGTAAAAGGTGTGAAATTTTTCTTGTAGGAGTAGTTTTTGAATTTCTAGAATTTAATGGAAATATGGACCATATCAATTAGGAGAGATTTTACTATGTTTCTACCATGAATCACCTTTGTAATAATCTTCCATCTAATAAACTGAAGGGAGGTTCAATTTAAAGTACAAGTGAGGTCGCTGTAATTTGCTCTTTTGGTTCTTGGCCTTTCTCCTGAAGGATTGCACCTCATTGTATACGTTTATCTATACATTTTTTTCAGGCCATGGTCGTTGTTGCGTGGAACACTTCTGGATCTATTGCAGCTTTCTTTGATGCGGATGTCTTCAGAAGTGTTCTAACCATCTTCATCACTTCTGCTTTCCTTAATTTTTTACAAGGTAAAGGTGATACCCTAATGTGTGCACTTAATTTCTTTGCCTACGAAATTTGGGTATGGAGCTAATTCTTGTTCTCGTACAAAAAGAGCTATTTCTGTTTCTTAGCTTCTGGCATCTGTTATCCGTTCATTCTAACTTCTGATACAGCAACCACAAGCATTTGAACCAACTATATTCTGTCAAGTTATAGTTAAGCTAGTTTCTTGCAGCTTTCTTATTTTCTCTGTTCATGTCATGCAGCTGTTCTGGATATAGTTCTTAGTTTCAATGCATGGAAAAGCTTAAAGATCACTCAAATTGTGCGATACCTCTTGAAAGTTGTAGTGGCTGCTTTCTGGGTCGTGGTCCTGCCAATTTTTTACTTCAGTTCATTGCAGAATCCGACAGGGCTTGTGAGATTCTTTAGCAGTTGGGCTGGAGATTGGACAAATCAGTCATTTTATAACTATGCAGTTGCAATTTATTTGCTACCCAACATATTGGCTGCTGTACTGTTTGTTCTTCCACCCTTACGAAAAACGATGGAGCGTTCTAACTTTTGGATGGTCACTCTTCTTATGTGGTGGGCTCAAGTAAGCATGCTAGCATTCATTAGTGACGACGTCTATTCTTTTGTTCGATAATTGGTGCTCATATGTTCCTTATTTTCTTTTTTGTCTTGAACTTCTTTTTTGCTTGATTCAAGTATCCTTTACACAATGTTTTTTTACCCTACGACAGCCAAAGTTGTATGTAGGAAGAGGCATGCATGAAGACATGTTTTCACTTCTGAAGTAAGGAAGCTTTCTTCTTTTAAGTTTTCTACTCCACATTCTGAAAGAGGACCTTTGGGGGGCAAGGGGTGCACTGTTTCCTGACTTTGCTCCATGCTTCGTACTCGATATTTGACAAATTTAGGATCTATTGTGAAGAATAAGAATAACTAGCTCTTATTTTAATTTATGGTTGTACAACTCTTTATTAAATATACACAGGAAATTTACTAGTAGGAAATGGATAAAACACAGAAACCAAAGGTATAATATACGGAGTAACAAAATTTTTAGTTCTGTTAAGGCGGCTTTTTAGTTAACTGTTAGGGAAGTTATAAGTAAATTCCCTATGCTCAATAATCTAGACACATATCCTGGCATTCCTTAATAATAAAGAATATGCAGTTTTTATTGTTTATATAATTCAATGTGTGTCACAGATATACATTTTTTTGGATCATGCTGCTAATCAGCAAGCTGGCATTTAGCTACTATGTTGAGGTAAATGTAGTCTGTTTGATTACGAGGATAACTTTATAGTCTATTGTTTGCTACTATGTTTATTGAAATGGTATTTTGATCTGTTAGAAATTGAACCTAAAAAAGTAGTTCCCCATGCTATACAAGCACATACACCCACATGCATGCAGCGCCTGCTGAGCAACTTGTTTGGATTGGTTAAATTTCTATTTATTTATTTATTTATTATTATTTTTTTAAAAAGATTAGGATTCTTACCAGTTGCCGATAAGGAATGCGGATAAAATTTTCTCCTTTTTCAGAACTATTTGAATTATGTTTAGAAATTGAAGGGTGTGCTATGGATAATTTGACAAATACCAAGTTTATTCTCATAATTGACATAAAAAGATGACACAATGATAGTAAACTGGAGATAGAATGTGCAAAGAACATTACTGGACTTTGCAAGTATTGCACATTGAGAAAGACAGGAACTATAATGGAGTTTGTTCTCTTGGATTTTTCCTTAAAGTAGTGTGAAAAAATATGGAATTGGATGAAGAATCCTTAGCTATACTTTTAAAATTTTAGTTTTAGAAATGAACATAAAGTACAAATTTACCTGCACATTTATATTGAACCTTTTTCTTTAATGGCTATAATTGTTATTTTTCTGATCTTTTTGCACTTATGATTCTGGATATCGAATACTTCTATAATAATCTGTACGCTTTTAGAGAAGAGAAAGAAACTTCTTATTTCTCATTGAATAACTTCATACATACCGGCCTCCTTATATAGATGAGCCAGAAGATAACAAATAAAGGGAAATAAAACAAATAAGGAAACAAATGAAAAAAGAAGGAAATTGCCTAAACACTAATCCCATGACTTTAGGGAAATTATTCTGAATCAGCTAACAATCCTCCTACATAATTACTCTATATTCGGCCACATACAGCAATATAACAGCCAATCATTCATAAGTTACTGACATAATCTAACAAGGAGAATTTTGTTCTTGAATACGAAATAGGAGATTAACCTCTAAAAGTGTGAAACAGTGAATCTTTATAGTCAGGAGGAGTTATACACCTATTTCAATTTAGCAGATTGTTAAACATAGTTACTTACTACAATTCTGACGCTTAAATACCAAACTTATGGTAAAAGTATTAAAATGGGAATTAATCATATGGTAAAAGTATTAAAATGGGAATTAGTCATCCTTCCCTGTGGTTTTTCTGTTAACTTTCACTGATTATGTTTCAGTTTGAATGTAAATCGTCTTTTTAATGACTTTCCAAATACTTCAGGCTCTGATTAATGTGTTTTATTGTCAGATATTGCCTCTAGTGGAACCAACAAAGCTGATAATGGAGATGCCTATCGATAATTATCAATGGCATGAATTCTTTTCAAATGGTTAGTCCTTAAACTCCTTTTATTTACGTGATAATATTCCCACTTTATTTTAACTGCGGCTGATTCCTGTACTTGCATTTTGTTATTGCTTTAGTAACGCACAATATTTGTGTCGTCATTGCAATATGGGCACCAATTGTTCTGGTGAGTAAAACTATACCAGAATTTCTCTTCTTCTTCTTCTCCTCCTCTCTTTTTTTTTTTTTTTTCCCTTTGTTATGCTAAAATATGATTCTTATGCTTGTGAATATAATTTATGCCATTTTGTTATGTACAATTGATGTGCAGGTTTATTTTATGGATGCACAAATATGGTATGCCATTTTTTCTACTCTATTTGGTGGGATACATGGGACCTTCAGCCATCTGGGTGAGGTTAGTCGTGAAGTCTCTTGTCACACTATGGGAAAAATTGATAGTGATAAAACTAGCATAAAATATTGTGTTTTGGTAAACATACCCATCAGTGTATGGCTGCCCTTTTGGGTTTGCGGAATGTTTGACATTTCTTTTATGATTGTGTCCTCAAACAACGTCCCAATTGGGTTCAATAATTCTCTCCCTCATGATCGGTTAATGTCATTTTCCTTAGATAAGAACACTTGGGATGTTGCGGGCCAGATTTCAAGCTGTGCCTAGAGCTTTCAGTAAACGTCTCATGCCATCATCGGAAAAGGTTGCTGCACGGAAAGACGAGATTAAAGATGAGGTAATGCCAATTTCAGTCACTGCTGTACACAGTTCTCTTTGATGTACGGAAGAGTTCGGTCTTCCCCTTTGTTCTTTTTCTGTTTTTGTTCTTTGGCTAACAAGAATGATTTTCCATGACAGGATCCAAATGTGAGAGAGAATATTGCCAATTTTTCTCAAGTGTGGAATGAATTCATAATTTCTATGCGACAGGAAGACCTCATCAGCAATAGGTTTTAATTGTTTCTAGCTCAAGAAGCTGTATTATAGGAAAAACAGAATGTTCAAGTTTCTTATTATTTCCTATAATTGGCAATTGTTCAGAGATAAAGATTTGCTGCTTGTTCCTTATTGCTCCAATGATGGTTCTGTTATCCAGTGGCCCCCTTTCCTGCTCGCTAGTAAGGTATTTGCCTTGCATTGCTTCATGTGTAATGTTTCTGCTCACCTTAGATCCTGTAATCTATATCCTTTTCTTTTCTCAAAATTCTTGTGTGACAGATTCCTATAGCACTGGATATGGCAAAAGATTTCAAGGGGAAGGAGGATGATGAATTATTTAAGAAGATTAAGGGCGATTACTACATGGATTCAGCAGTAACTGAATGCTATGAGTCACTTGGGGATATAATATATGGCCTTCTGCAAGATGAAGCTGATAGGATGTAAGGCAAAACTTTCACAGTACAATGTTGAAAATCACCTTGCTGCATAACTGTTCTTTGTGAAAACTAAGACCACCTTTCCTTGGAAAGTACCATTTCAATTTTTCTTCTGTTCTTATGGAATAGGGTTATAAAGAAGATACGTGACGAAGTTGACGTAAGTATAGAAAGGCAGGAATTTTTGACTAATTTTCGGATGAGCGGGCTTCCCTCTCTTAGTGAGAGGTTGGAGAAATTCTTAAAACTATTGGTAACATACTTCTCTATGATTTCTCAATGTTATCAGTGCTGCATATTTCAACAGTGAACTGATATATATGACTTGGACGTGCCACTGCTCATTGAGTACTTTTTGTTGGTATATTGACAGCTATCAGATGATGGAGAACTTGAGACTAAACAACATCAGATAATCAACGTCCTTCAGGATATTATGGAAATTATCATAAAAGATGTTATGGTTTATGGACATGAGTAAGCACTGAAAAAATTAAAACTTACTAGAGAAAGAAAAAGAAAACAAGATTTTAAATTTGCAACTAACGAGCCACTGTGTCTCCTGAATTTTACGGGTATTATTCTTCTTTATAGAATCTTCGAAGCCATTCATCGTCAAAATATAGATGTTCAAAGTGATAAAAAAGAGCAGAGATTTGAGAAGATTCATATCCAGCTTGCAAAAAATAAATCGTGGAGGGAGAAGGTACTCTTATGTGCATGCATTTACTAAAATTGTTTCATTCAGATATTTTATCCATAATAACTTGTGCATTTCTTCTTAGGTGGTCAGGCTTCATTTGCTTTTGACTGTCAAGGAATCTGCCATAAGTGTGCCTCAGAACTTGGAAGCTCGCCGCCGCATAACTTTCTTTGCAAACTCCCTTTTTATGAACATGCCAAGGGCTCCTGTAGTTCGTGACATGCTCTCCTTTAGGTTTGTCTCAAAATAGAACGCCTGTTTTATAAAAGGGAAATTCAAATGCAATATAGTGAAGTTTTGAGAGGGTGCCGTTATGACAAATAGCATAAATTATTTCTCATGCAGTTTCTTCCCCATTTAATAAAGTTCTGTTTCTTATCTAGAAAAGTTTCTTACATCCGAACCAAGATAAGAATTGTATGCCTATGTCACTCTTTTAGTTAGCTGGTCTGCTTTTGGTTGGGTAGTTGCATTCCTCTATCAAAAATGGTATTCAAATTTAGATGGCTAATGTGCTTTTTGCTGCTTTAAGATTTAAACATCTCTGTTTGTTCTGTGCTTTTTGCTGGGAATCTTTTCTGGTTTTCCAATTAGTGTTTTGACTCCGTACTACAAGGAAGATGTCCTTTACACTGATGAGGAACTTGATAAGGAAAACGAGGATGGGATATCTATTTTGTTCTACCTGAAGAAAATATATCCTGGTGAGGTTCAAGTCTCACGCTGCATTATTCTTTTTTTCTTTCTTTCTTTCTTTCTTTTTTATTTTTTATTTTTTTATTTTTATGTTCTGAAATAAGCTTAAGTTCCACATACCTTTTGTTTATTGTAAATAGATGAATGGACAAATTTCACGGATCGGATAGATCCCAAAAATGAATTATTTGAGGAGGACATGTCAGAGTCAATTCGTGAGTGGGTATCTTATAGGGGGCAAACACTTTATAGGACAGGTATGGGTGATTGTTTGATATTCAATCTCCTTAATACTTACATCATTTACAGATCTGAATTTAAAATTTGAATAATTTTTCTTCCAGTGAGGGGGATGATGTACTATAGGCAGGCTTTAGAGCTTCAATGCTTCCTTGAATTGGAGGGACATAATGGTTAGTGGATTTCCGTGAAAAGTGCTATCTTTCATTTCCAGATGAGCAGATCCATATTTTGGTTTAGACATTGTTAAAATGCTGCTAAAGTTTCAAATATGTGCTTGGTAATCCTTTTTTCTTTTCCTGACAGATATCTTTGGTGGCTACCGAAGCTTGGACTTAAACGACAGAGCTCAGAAGGGTTTCCGTGATCGTGCACAAGCTCTAGCCGATTTGAAGTTTACTTACGTTGTCTCTTGTCAGGTCTATGGTGCTCAAAAGCAATCCGATGATGCTCGTGACAAAAGTTGTTATAAGAATATTCTCAAGCTGATGTTGACGTGAGTTTTTTGTACTGTGACAAAATGAATGCCAATTTCCTTTAATCTTAAAGTTGCTGTTGCTATTCTAAATATGTTAATTGTGTACAGACACCCATCGCTGCGTGTTGCTTACATAGATACAGTTGAGTGCACAGTGAATGGAAGACCCCAAAAGGTTTATTACTCTGTTTTGCTCAAGGGAGGGGACAAGTTAGATGAGGTATGGAAGAATCTATTGGTTACGTGAAGCGTGAACTCCTTATTGTTCTCTGTTTTTCCAACATGTGGTAATTTCTTAGCAATGAGAGTTTAGATCTCAACTAAGTAAAGGACCTAAAAAACGTTAGCTGGTTTAGGTTTGAGGCCATTGGGTAATAACAACGCTTTTCACATTGCAACATCCATAGAGTATACAAATTTTGTTAGCATAGTGATGTAAGTTGTGACTAGGGTATCCAATGTTGTACTTTCTTTGATTTGCCAAAGTCAAAGCATGGTATAGGTGCCATAGGGTGGTGAGGCATGTTATTGCTTGCAAAGAAAGAGAGAGTGGGGTAGACTGGGAGAGCAAGACTACACTTGTGGAATAAGGTTTAAAGGGTACACGGAATTCTTGGCGAAAGGATGAGGGATGCAAGGGATTGGGGAATGAAACTGAGATGTTTTCGGTTGGATATATGTGAAAGCTGCTTACGTAATGGATCAACTGTTTTTTTGAGGGATTGTTTTGAGTATAAGAAAAAAGAGAATTGTGTATAATTATATTTCTAAAGGTTATTCTCACCAATGCCCCCTGAACTGTAACGTCACCCTCATTTTGCCCCTAAACTTTAAAATTTGTCACTTTGCCCCCTGAACTTTAAGTTCATCACCGGTTAACCCTTTCCATCACAGGTTTACCCTTTCCATCACAATTTCAGTTAAAAAAATATAAAAATATGGATAAATACATTCACATAGTTTGTTTGTTAGAGTTTTCATTAAAAAGAAATAGAATAAGACAATACAATTTCGTTTAACGCTCTTTTTCTCCGTTTGTTTTTAACTAATATTGTGACATAGGGGGTTAAGTGGTGATGAACTTAAAGTTAGGGGACAAAGTGACAATTTTTAAATTTCAAGGGACAAAGTGAAGTTGACACTATAGTTCAAGGGGCATTAGTGATAATAACCCTAATTTTAAAAATATATTCTGAGAACATGAAACAATGAATAATCTCTGATGAATATATTGAATAATTAATAATGAATAACTACTTAGCAAATGAAAATTAATATATTAGTAAACTATTAATAACTAATATATTATTAATTAATGATTAAATTAGTAATTAGTATATATAAATAATTAATAACTAGTAATTAATAATTAGTATAGAACTAATTACTATGTTTGTAATATACTAACAATTATTAAATTAATAACTACTTAATAACTACTTCTATACTAACTGTTAATTACTAGTTATTAATTAGTATACTTGTAACAATAATCAATATGTTTGTAATTTATTAGCATACTGTTTACTAATAATTACTATATCTATAATTAATTAATATACTATTAAATAATTACGTATGTAATTAATAATTTTTATTATGTTTAATTATTGGTTTCCTAAATTGATTTAATTTTTACATATTACACAATTAGTAATCAACCTTTAATTAATAATAATCAATTACTTATTATCAATTATTAATAATTTATTATTGTTGATTAATATATTACAAAATTAATATGTAGTAATTGATATTAGTTCAATAATTAATAAATTAATTAGTTACTATTTATTTACTAACTATTAATTGATAAATTATTAGTAATTAACTATTTAATATAGCACTGCTGATAAGTTCTAGAAAATGAAAATGGAAAGGGGAAAACAACTTTCGGGTGTTTCCTTTTCCTTCTCAAAAATAGACCTTCCAAACTATACGAGTCATTTTCAAAAATACATACTAAACAAACGCTATTTTGGAATTGTTTCTAAAAAACTTTGTTAGAAAGCATGAGAACCGTTTTAGAAACAGAACCAAATAGGCCCATTTCTCTCTACTTGAAAGGGTGGTGAACATCAGGTCCTCCTCTATATTTTGTAACTTTTTCCCTTTTTCAAGATATTCACCTGTTCTCATTAAAAAACAAAAAAACAAAAACAAAAAAAAGGATATTCACCTGTTCTTTATCAATAAAAAAAGGCCTTTATGTCCTTTATTTGTAATCCTCCCATTCTCTTTTATATGTAAATGAATGTTTCTGTTCGATTAAAAGATAAAAATGAAAAAGAAGTCATATCATCAAATCGGGTTAAGTATAGACTTTGTATGGAGCTATTAACATGTCTGTCCACCTTTTGAATTTAATTTCTTTAAGTGAGATCCAGATCAAGGGTCGTTGATGTAATCTACTTCTCGTACCTAACATCTGGAACTTCTTAAATTACTAGGAAATATACAGGATCAAGCTTCCAGGACCTCCTACAGACATTGGTGAAGGGAAACCTGAAAACCAGAATCATGCTATTATTTTTACTCGTGGAGAAGCCCTGCAGACAATAGACATGAATCAGGTAAAATTCTTTCCTTCTTTTGAAACTACATGTGAAAATGGGGATGGAAGAAAAGTTCCAATGTGCTCTCTTACCTCCTTTTCCAGGATAATTACTTTGAAGAAGCTTTCAAAATGAGAAATGTACTGGAGGAGTTAACAAAGCATCGTCGAAGTGCACGAAAACCCACAATATTAGGTCTGAGGGAGCATATATTCACTGGAAGGTCAGTCTTTTTCGTATATCTCTGCACTGTAGATTTGATATCCATTACTGTTATGCAAGATACAATGCAAAGATGCAATGATGCTGTTCTATACTAATTGTTTCTATCTTTTTTACAGTGTTTCCTCTCTCGCATGGTTCATGTCCAATCAGGAAACTAGTTTTGTAACTATTGGGCAACGGATTTTGGCAAATCCTCTTAGGTAAGTCAAATATTATTTACATGACTGACGGATCCTTGCAGCAATTTCGACTTTTCAAATTTATGTGTGCATCTAGGCCATGCAAGTCTTTTAGTTTCTTCGATTGAAAGAAGCTGGGCTAAGGTCATCCCTAAGCCTAGTATATTTCAAGATAATAGGTGATAGAATTGCAGCGACAATTTTGTTTTATATATATTGATAAACAATCTTTTTATTAGTTCTTGACATACCTCAAGTAGTGAAGTTATTTTTGGCCATTCAACATAGAATAGGTGTGGCTAATACCTCTGTGCATTTCTTTGTCGCTGCCACGGATGCACATTGGGACCAGTTGTCAGCTTCTAGCTTGTGCCCCCCTCTGAAGGCTGATGTCTTTTGGGCTGCTATTTAAGCTATTTGCGCTTAATTGAACTCTTTTGATGCCAAATGTTTCTCTCCCCCACTTAATTTTTTCTTTTTTATTTTTTTTCTCTTCCCTCTATTCATTTCTTTTCTTTTCTTTCCCTTCTCAATTTCTATTTCTCTCACATTTTCAGACCTACATATTGCATCATTGTTTTTTTTTTTTTTCATTTTTTGATTTTTTTTGCGCTTCCATCTCATCTTTTTTACTGTAACTTTCTTTCTTCTGGCCGTATTTCTTATTTTTTTTGCCAAAAGTTTAGTTGCTATCCAACATTTATAATTAGCTTATATATAGTCACAATTAACATATTGAGATATGTAAACTTTTGTTCATTGATAAAACATTTTAGAATTGTAGACTTTTCTTAATTTCGTTTTAGGTGATTAGGTGCAATGTTCATAATTTGTATTTTATTCTTCACATAGATGATTTTAATCCTAGATCCGTCACTGCTTTGTCGACCTCAATCTTCTCCTAACTCACCTAGTCCAACCATTTAGTACGACATTCATTGTTCAAAATCCAGATATAATGGTTTAATAAAACTCTAGTTAGGAGAATCCTAGTTCTCCTTTCACTTTTACACATTGATGCTTGCTTTCTTTATGATAAAATTTCTCAGAAAAATAAGGGATTTCTTGGCTCAGCAGGTCTCAGCGTTGACTTATATATTCTTTTTATTCTCATACAAGCATCTGAATAATGCTATTTTGACTTTACAGGGTGCGTTTTCATTATGGTCACCCTGATATTTTTGATAGAATATTTCACATAACAAGGGGTGGCATAAGCAAAGCTTCAAGAGTTATCAATTTAAGTGAAGATATATTTGCAGGTAATATTTGAGGATTAAGTTATTAATTTAATATAAAAAAGATTTAACCGACAGATTTTATCTGGGGACTAATTTTATAAATCTACAGGGTACAATTCAACTTTGCGTGGAGGATTTATTACACATCATGAGTATATCCAAGTGGGCAAAGGGCGTGACGTGGGCATGAATCAGATATCACTTTTTGAGGCTAAGGTTGCAAATGGAAATGGAGAGCAAACACTAAGCCGTGATGTTTATCGGCTTGGACGTCGATTTGATTTCTACAGAATGCTATCTTTTTACTTCACAACAGTTGGTTTCTACTTTAGTAGTATGGTAAGTTGAAATGATCTCACATATGTACAGTGGCGGAGCCAGAAAATTCTTATAGTGGGGGCGAAAATTAAACCAAAAAGTTTTACTAAAGCAACAGTACAACAATTTTAAACAAGTTTAATTCACTCTTTGAAGTTAATGGTTCAAAAAATTATTCATCTACATAATATTGTGGTTGACTTTTGGTTTTATTTGGTATTTTAAATTAATTACAAGTATATCAAAGTTCAAAAGTTAAAACTTGGGGTATATATGAAAAGTTTTCTGAACATTTTGATTATTACAAAATGAAAATTTTTGGGGGGGCGAAATAAGGATAAATTTGTTTTTACTGATGGGGTAATAGTGTAAAGGAGCCACTTTGGCCAGTGGCTGGCCCCCCCGGGGTCATCCGGGGCCCCCCCCCGCCAATG